TTTGGCATAAAAGTAAGTCTTGATCTAAGTCTTGATCGAACTCTTGATACGAAGTCTCATGTCTTGAACCAGTAACTCTGCTAAACAGTCTAGTAATACGTGATATGTAGTTAATATTAGAAATTGCTTAAAAGTCTGTACCTAGTGAACATATTGTGTTTCTGCAATAGATGTGTATCGAGAATTATTGAACTTTTATAAAACTGTATCAACTTTTCAAAGTGACCCGGTATATAGTGCGAGTGTACATCATCCTGTCATCATGTATAACCAACCAATATGTAAGCACATCTGTTTTACTTCCATGTCAACTCTGCCTGTCCATATTATGATGATTGCTGAATAGAGATTTATGTATTTTGAACTGCCGTATTAATGTCTATATACACCATTCTTACTCCTGCCTAAGTATTCACGAACCCAGTGAATCAGTAACTTTGTGAAGACCCCTGTATAGGCCAACCCAAGAAAAGGGGTGCTTTACAATACCAAAATATCAAATATTCATCATAGTTCACGAGTAACGTCAAAAAGTTATATAAACACATTTTCTGTCGTGCATGGATTTGAGAGATGAGTGGACAAAGCAAATACTTCAACGAGTGACAAAATACTGGAAACATGTGGTGTGAAAACTGGGAAGTAAGACGAAACGAAATCAAAGTATGAATATAAGTAAGAAGGTATTTGGAGAGATATTAAATTTCAAAGTTTAACTGCAATGTTTGTGTTTCATTGATTAGAGGTAAGCAGCCGAACTCGAATGTTTGCTTTCATCGAGGTCAGAAGAACTGTAAGAATCAATGCCTTTTGCAATATTGATCAACATTGATTACCATTAGTGAATTGATACTCAACTGAAATGAAAATGAGTGAAGTAACCACCCAAGGTGACTCACTATTGACAGAGATTATTATAATAATATGAGTGCGAGTAGATAGAAACAAGAGGCCTCAGTCTTCTACTTCACTTTGTTACAATTTGTGTTGACATCCTTCATATGTCGACAAAGAAATCATCCTTTTTGGTTCCTAAGAGTTGAATTTCAACTTCAGCTCCAAGAAACTGAAAGTGTGAATCGAGGGTCCTAGCAACATAGATGAATATTTTTATGCACGACCAGCCGTGAAGTAGCATTTTATCGCCTGGATTTTCGGGCGTAAAGTAACACTTAACGCACTAGGGCGATAAAGGAGTACAGCGGGCGGTAAAGTTTTCCAGTGGGCATCAAAGTAATTTCACTGTTCTCACAGTAATTTCTAGTAGACTACCATTCGATGTTTCTTCGCCAGTAACATACATAATTTGGAAAATGAATTCAAAATCATTGAAAAATTCCATATTGACGTTAAATAAATGTCTAAACCGGTCGTGAATAAAATGTTGTATGTTTTTCGGACATTAACTGCGTTAATGGACCTAGAAATATCAATAGCTCTCGCTTTCGCTCGGGCTCCTACTTACATGGTGTGGTCCATAAAAGCCTATACTTACGCCCTTGATACATAAATAACTATTGTGTCAGTAATAGAAACGTCAACTTCAAGAGCTAATTTTGGAATTAAAATTGACGAATTTTGATTCAGTTGCAGAAAAACGGTATTTTTTACTACCGGTGAAAAAATCTTGATTGATGTGATTGTTTTTTTAATTCAAAGAAGAAAGTTCAAGAATTAGTTCAGAATTAGGATTATTATTTACTAGTATATTCTTCGATGAAATTCTGAAAGTAAAATTCTAAATTCTATCCCTTTCACTTATAATAAGATATTGATTAGAATATAATTAATGATGTCATAAGGTTTAAAGTAATCTTCCCCTATCTCCCCTACAAAAGAGAAGAGAAATGAGCACGTTTTGTTCATCAAAATCACCTCGTTATTTATGTTGTATTTTTTATGTTCCTTATTGGACTATACAGGGTGTTTTTTATATATTGCGACAAAATTCAGGAACGTGTTCTTTGGACAAAAATTCGCAAAAAAGTTCCAATAAACATAGGTCCTAAACCTTTTAGATTTTGAGCTACAGGGTGGTAAAGTTTTAACAAAAAAATGATTTTTTTTCGATAACTTAAATACCCCTGTAGATATTTGTCCAAAGATTGGTATGCAGGGTCTGTGTATCCAGAGCCATTTACCAACATACTTTCAACATTTTTATGTTCTCCAGTGGCGTGTGTGCGGGTTTTCCGCTGACCGAATTTATAAAGAAAAATGGTACGCCACTGGTTTTTCTTGTATTAAAAAATATTTTAAAATTCCACGTTTTATTTGCAACATTTTTGATCCCCTGGACTTTGTCCGTTAGATGCACGGTTTTCGCACAAAAAATTAGAAACCATGGACATGTTGCTCAGATTTGATTAGACTTTCTTTATTCTAGTAATTATTCTTTTTTTTTAGTTTATTGCAATTTTAATAATAAATAATAAAATTTTTATTAATTAATTTAGTACAAAAGCCAGCCCAATTTAATAAAATTGTAATTGAGGATTTAAAACTTTTGCTTCTACAATCTTTAATTTAAAATACAAGTTTTTAAGTGATATATTTCATTTTTTATTATTTATTTAAGTAATATTATTATTTTTACAAAAGTTGTTCAAAGTGTGCTCCTCCAACATCAATACAAGCATCTAATCAACGTCGCATTGATTGGCGGACACGTTCAAAAATTCCTGGTGTCTGCCGAATTATGTCACAAGACGTTATAATACGATCACGCAATTCCTCCACATTATCAATTGGATTTTTATAAACCAGTGATTTAAGGTGTCCCCACAAAAAAATCCAGCGGATTTAAGTCGGGAGACCGTGGGGGCCAAGGGTTAATACCTCCCCGACCTATCCAACGATTTGGATACGTAATATCCAAATACTGCCGAGCCACTAAACTAAAATGGGCTGGAGCACCGTCATGTAAAAAAAACATTTGCTGTCTCAGCTGAATGGGGACATCTTCTAGCATCACTGGTAATTCATTTTCAAGAAATTCTTGATACACTTGTCCAGTCAACCTTGCTGGTAAAAAAAATGGACCGATGAGAAAGTTTTCAATAATGCCGACCCATACATTAAGTGAAAACTGGTGCTGATGAAGGTTTCCTGCCACAGCATGTGAGTTCTCATAATGCCATATGTGGTTATTGTGAAAGTTCATAATTGCGTCCCTGGAGAAATTAGCCTCATCGGCAAAAAGTATTTTTCTTGCCTTATGCGTTCTTGCATCCAACGACACAAAGCCGTTCTTTTCGGAAAATCGCCTGGCAAAAGTGCCTGCACCCGCTGAATATGATACGGGTATAAAAGGTTTCTTTTAAGAATATTTCAAACTGTAAAGTCACTAATGTGTACCGTCTGAGCAATTTTCCTAGTGCTTGTGGTGGAATCTTCCTCGAATTCATTGAGCACCTGTTCTTCAATTTGAGGAGTAACTGTTCGGGGATGTCCGTTTTCAGCGGTGAGTTTTTTAAAGCTGCCGGTTTCACTTAGACGTTGGTGTAAACGCGTAAACATGGAGTGATGAGGAATAACACGATTCGGGTAACGTTCAGCATAAATACGCAAGGCTTCTCGTGCGTTTCCGTTAGCCAGTCTATAAATGAAGTGCATATCGCACATTTCATTATTTGTGTAATTGTTAGCCATTTTTTTAACAAATTAATCTTGTCAACTTGTACTTAAATTATTTACTTTGACATTAATTTTGACGTCTTAAACAAGAATGTGATTATCGTTGCGGCGGCGTTGTCCGTAGTTACGTTAAAAAAAAATTATGTTCACAGGCTACTTCGCGATTTTGGAAGCGTGAAATATTAACACGTTACTCATATGTCACTTTTTTAACATGTTAAATAAAGTGACATATTATGAACTACAATGAAATTTTAAATAAAATTTAAAAAAAAACTTACTTTTTATAACGATCATAGAAAAAATAAATTTTAGCGATCAGTCAAAGTAGATGTTTTTTATTTTTTTGTGCGAAAACCGTGCATCTAACGGACAAAGTCCAAGGGATCAAAAATGTTGCAAATGAAACGGGGAATTTAAAAATATTTTTTAATACAAGAAAAACCAGTGGCGTACCATTTTTCTTTATAAAAGTATTCAGCGGAAAACCCGCACACACGCCACTGGAGAACATAAAAATGTTGAAAGTATGTTGGTAAATGGCTCTGGATACACAGACCCTGCATACCAATCTTTGGACAAATATCTACAGGGGTATTTAAGTTATCGAAAAAAAAACATTTTTTTGTTACAACTTTACCACCCTGTAGCTCAAAATCTAAAAGGTTTAGGACCTATGTTTATTGGAACTTTTTTGCGAATTTTTGTCCAAAGAACACGTTCCTGAATTTTGTCGCAATATATAAAAAACACCCTGTATACTCGATTTTGACGACCAAATCATAATCTTCTACCCCGACAATCCCCAGATACTAATTTTTAGTAGAATCGGATCATGATTACAAAAACCCGTACGCCATATTGTATTCGCCATATTAAAAGTTTTCGAATTTTGATGAAAGCATCATAATCTTGAATCTTGAATTTTCAAATGCTAACGAAAGATACATAACCTCCGATCCTGAAAACCCCCAGATACAAATTTCGAATAGATATTAGATCCGCCATCTTGAATTTACCAAATTTGACAGAAGAATCATTATGTCCGACCCTGAAAACACCTAGACACCAATTTTGAATAAAATTGGATCATCTTAACAGATCTCTTCCGCCATATTATATCTGCCATCTTGAATTCCGGAATTTTGACATAATAATCTCTGACAAATTCATATTTCTCATGGCAGAAAAGCAGTAACATTTTTGATAGATATTTTATAAGGCTGAATCCATATTAATTCTGGTGTTCACTATTTGTGGTTCGGAGATTTTCCATTCTCAATGAATCATTCTGTATCATCAGTAGGAAGGTTAATTATCTCAAAAACAAGCTTTCCAAAGAATATGTAAATATATATATATATTTGTTTCTTCATGATAACAAAGTATCGAAGTATATACTAGATGATTTATTCAATTTTGATTTTTTTCAACTAGAGAAGTTTGAAAATCAATGTATTTTTTGGAATTTCAAATATATACGTTGTTTCATTTTGATAAGGAAGGTATCTGGATCGATTTCCAGTGGTTTTTCAGTGCTTGAGCTTGGAAAAACTTTGTAGTTCCTCAAGATGGTTGCCAAACCTAGTCTGACCTGCATGAAGGCGTAACGAAAACCTACAAAAAAAAAAACAAATAATGTAATCAGTTATCAGTGTTCAACCAAAATTCAAAATCATGTAAAATAAACCCTTCTCAATTGATGAACTAGCAAAATAACTGAATATTTTTTATTGGTACCATATATTATAAATCATGCTTATTTGAAGAGCGTGTTTTAATAAAGTTACCACGATCACACACGGCAACATCGCAACGACCAGAGAAACTTGAAGTCTAAAAATGTCAACTTTTGAATTGTCGATCTGACAGGAGCCAAATAAAATATCACTAGAAAATTATGTTCAACCATTTTACATTATCACTTCGTTGGTTCCATATTTATTATCTGAATTCTCGAAGTGTACCAATGAAAAATATAGCGTAAAGTATTCGTGGAAAGCTGGTCTTTCAAATACTTGCTCTATTTGGAGCGCACTCAGGCAGGCCATGGTGCCCAAAAATCGGGCGTGTTTGAAATAGGTACCTTAAAATTCACTTATACATCAATATACTATCTCAATATAAGTCGAACTCAAATGTTGATACCTTTCTGAAAATAAGATGGAGAAGGCAAATATTTGAGAGCTACTATACATTTCTTCTCCTTGCATTAGTCGAGATATGAGCTTTGAATTTGAAGATAAAATCATTTTTCTAAACATCTTCTATGTTCTATCGTTATGGCAAAACTTATTCTGTTTGATGTGTCTGCAATGGTTACAACATTCCGAAGTGATGTCTATTATTACAGCTATTCAGTAACTTGGATGGGCGTCTTCAAAGAACTATCAGACACCCATACACCCAGCGAGCACGAACATCCCTGGGATGTTTTGGGATGTTCTGAAAATGTTGGCATGAAGATGATATTTTGAATATGCACTGACAAAAGAGGTCTTTGAAGGATATTGAAGTATTGTTTTTGTTCTTCTGTGGCATTTCTTTGTTTGCCTACTGAGAGGTATCCCTGGGATGTTTTGGGATGTTTTTGAAATGTAGGCATGAGGATGTTTTTTTGAGGCGTAATATGCACTTCCCAAAGAGGTCTTAGAAGGATAATGAAAGTATTGTTTTTGTTCTTTTGTGCCCTTTCTTTGTTTGCCCCACCACAACGCCTCATGCTTACGTCACAATACGATGAATTCTGATTTGTTTTCGATTTTGTTCTTCTTGTTCGCAATTGGCATTCGCGTTTGCATCGTGTCACGCTTACATCACGCTGCTAACGAACAGAAAGGAATTTGGTGAAGTTTATTGTGTTAGAAGACTTATTTAGTTTGTAATAATGACCATCAGATACAAGATGTGTTGTTCGGTGCCTCAGTGTAATCAATATATTATTATAAAAGTACGAATTTATCAATACACAGCTCCTCCGCAGTTGCAAAATTATGCATTGTGGAGAACATTTCAAAAATTGGGAAACCTATTTCCAATTATATGTGTGTAGTAAGCACTACTCAGAAACCGATGAGGAAGGTAATTTCTTATCAAGAAAATATTTTTATGTTCAATCTATTTTTAATGCATTTTTTCATTCAAGGGAAATGAAATCCTAATGCAAAAGTTCATTTTGACAAAAGGCTTCAGAACAGTACCTCGGAAATGGTTTTTTTACAGCGATTTTATGTGTGCAAGACTCGTTGAAAAAGTTTTGTTGTGTCCATGAAAAGGATTTAAAAAGAACTAGGGAGAAGGTAGTTTTGTGACATATCAAAGGACATCTCGATAATTGCCGCCTGCGGCGGACATTGGCTGTTCTATAAGCTCTATTCATGTGTGAACAGAACATCGCAGTGGAGGTTCAATGTCTCGAAATCTCGTATTTTTAACATCTCTGAGATGTTTTTGTGCTCGCTGGGCACCAAGTTTCTAGTCTTTGATTTCATCACTGTTTTCACTCTGAAACGTCCTATCGAGTTCTAACAAGGGGACAATTTCTATGAAACTGAATATTTTCTCATATTTTTCAATCACTGACTATTTTTTCTTTTGATGGGTTTTCTAATAGTGAACCTTTTGAACACAGTAACATTTTGGGGCAAATCATCTATTTGTTAGTCTTACCAACGGTCAACTGAATGGACCGACTTCCATGTTATCTAGATTTCATTCGAATTATGTTCACTCACCAATACAATGTCTAGGTCCACCTCCGAACGGGTAATATACGGATGATTTTTGATTTCTATCCTCGAACCGGTCTAGATTCCATTTCTCCGGGTCTGGATAATAGTCTTTATCCCGATGCAGTGCCAGAATTGGGATCATCACTTTTGTTCCCTTTTCAATGGTTAAGTCAGTACCTGGAAACTTGTAATCCTGCATGCAAATCCTTGGAAGGGTTGTTACTGGAGGCCATTTCCTTAGAGTTTCTGAAAGTATCAAATGAAAGGGGATAACTATGACGTTATTATAGTCATGGCAAAAAAATTATGCATGGTGAACTGAGAAATTTCGTGACAAACTCTTATAAAGCGATTGATGATCTAAATAGTACATTCAACAATATCGTACTCCTGAATACACCAGTTGATTGAATAACTATTACAGGGGTTACGTGTTTTGCTGTTATTAATTTCGAAGTATGAGATTAATCACTATTGTCCATTGTTTTCAATAAGGGCTGTGGGCCCTTTCTACCCTAGTCTGCAGCCCATGAAGCACTTATGTAGATCGTCTGATAGTCTATTATGGTTCTTCAGTGCATATATAGCCATCTTAAGTGGTAAAGGGCTTTCACGATGGGTTGATAGTTGCGTAATACTTGGTAACGATGTCATGCCAAAACTGCACATCGAAAAATACTAGTAACTTTCGAAATGGGCGAGCCGCGTTATCGATTTAAGTTGGCAAAACTGTACACCGATGCCAGATTTATTTAACATTTCTAGTAGAGACTTGTTGTGGTCAGCTGATCTCTGCGAATTATTCATTACGGACAATTTGTACTTTCAAGGAATTGTTTCTGATTTCTTCGTGGATCATGGGTGAAATTAGATTCATTCAAAATGCCCAAACCATTGAGTGAGAATTAGTATTTTCTTCAAGAACTGAACATGAAGATTGCCATGGAGAAATGAACCAACATAACCTGGCTTGAAAATCAATTGTTGAAAGATTTGGAAAAACCTTCCACAATCGTTATGGTTAATGCGACTTACCACAGTACGATGATGAATAAAATTCTCACTGCAGCCTCAACAAAAAAAACAGACATACAAGAATGGCTTACCAACAACAGAATTCAGTTTGACTATGGAATGCTGAAGCCACAGTTACTGAATTTGGTCAAATTGTAGGCTATAGACACTTTTTATTTTTCCACGAAATAAAATCAATTGATCGAATTTCTAATTCATCTCAGCAATTTATAGTAGGTAATTGAAAAACATTCATAACGAAAAGATAACCTCGAAATTGAATTCGAAGTTTTTATTATTTTCACTCAGTAAATGTGAATACTGATCATAGTTTCATTTGAAAAAATGAATTCAAGACATAATTGTGTATTGGTAGAAAAATTAGATATTTTCAATGTTAATAATATTTGTGATTGTTTGTTGATGTTGTTATATAATAAATCATTCTTCAAGTTATTATTCTTTATAAGACTTTTATTATTATTAAATTCCATATTCAGTATAATGTTTAGGTTCATGGTTCATTAAATACAAATATTGAAGTTCATTTATCAACTTCAAGTGCTGATTTTGGAATATGAATGGACGGCTTTTGAGTTTGTTGCAAAAAACATTATAACGTCCGACGATCGTAACACTAGACATATCCATATTCGGACGGTTGATCATTCAGTCATTTCCATTCAACTGGCAACACTGTATGTGTTGACATATTGACGTCACTATCAACTCAGTGTGAAAGCCCTTCATTTCCACTGATTTTTCAATTTCAACAATTGAAATTCCATGAATATATCCTAAATATCTTAGTGTTGCATTTGAAATTGATACAAGTACTGGTAAAACCAGTATAAATTTTTACTGATGATCAGGTAATTTAGGGATGTTTAGGGATGGAGCCAATGCAGAGCACAGACTTGTCAAAAACGTCTTTGGCATGCTCCATGGAAAGAGCTACGTAGAGACATATTAATCACTGCATTCTCACAGGAGCATATCTTGTTTAAGTCTGATGTTGTATCACGGATATAAGTCTGTGAATTTATCTGAGGCGAACATTCATCTTTGCTATATCTCTGATGAGAACATCTCTGTGATGAAACATGGCACATTTGAAATGCAGCAGTGATCAAGTTCCTGCATGTTTTGGTCAACTGGGTGGTTTCCCAATCAGCACCAGACATCTTAAAGACGTACATTTTACGACTTACTTACGTCTTCACGCCCAGGGACGTATAAAGTACGTCTTTAAGATGTGAATCCATGTACATCTTAAAGACGTACACGAATCTACGTCTTTAAGACGTACATTTTAGGTCGTATCCACGTCGTTCCTCCCATGTCGTATAAAAGACGTCTTAAAGACGTACATTCCAGTACGTCAATTCGACTTCTAGAACAATAATGTCAGTTATTTTCTGAAGAAAAACAAAATGTCATCTCTTCACGTTTTTTATTTTCAATTGTTCAGTTTTTTCTTATTTTCAACAAAAGTGATGTTTTTGAATTTTTTCGTCCGACATTTTGGAGCCTTCGTGTTAGATTCTCGAATTTTTACAAAAAAATCATATTCTCCGACCCCAAAAGTCCCATAGTAATCAATTATGAATAAAATCGGACTATAATCACAAAACTCGTCCGCCATTTTGAAGCCGACATCTTGGATTTTTCATTTTCGACAAAAGGAATTATAATCTTTGATCCCGAAATCCTTCAGATGCCAATTTTGAATCAGATCAGACCATAATCAGAAAACCATATGCCACATCGTCCGTCATATTGGATCCGCCATTCTGTTTTTTCCATTCAATAATAATATCACAACGAATTGTCACCGGAATAATATCTACTTGCCAAATTTCAAATCAATCGGACGATTTAAAGTGAGTCAAATTTAACTTCTACGTTTTGATTACAAACAGACACACAAGGACATGTTGAACTAAGTAAAAGCTTGTTATGTGATATATAGAACAAACAGAGTAACAGAAGAAGTGAATATGGTATAATCATCGAAGTCAAGCAACAAAGAGCGCGGTTAGAGTAGTTGAATGGGTGACCGCTTGTGTCTATACCGTTTGATGAAGTCGTTTATTTCCCTTTTTTTTTGCTTGTCTGCACTTGTTGCTAACTTCAGTGCACAGGTGAAAATCAACTGAAACTATGTGATTTTTCCGTAATTTGAAAGATCAATTTGAGGTCATGGACCAAAAAGACCTTAAAAAGACGTCTTGAAGACGTACATATTAGTGGAAAATGTACGTTTTAAAGACGTCTTAAAGACGTCTCTTGGGCGTAATATGTACGTCTTTAAGACGTATTTATGTCCCGACATGTACGTCTTAAAGACGCCTTTAAGACGTACTTTGGCTGATTGGGTTGTGGAAGAGTTCACCATTCAAACCTCCACCGATTGGTATTTCGACGGTAAGTATGAGCCCTAATAACACACGTTATCCAGACGACATCCATTTTATATCCATTTGCCGTCCAAGACATCCATGGACGCCAAATGGAACTATCTTTTGATGTACATTGTTGTATATCCAGCTGATGATCTAGTATGTACTCCATCTGGAAGCCTATCTATGTCCATGGACGCACATCGAATAGCCACTTGGATGTCCATACCGGATACTTGGCAGTACATATTGGACATCCATAAGTGTATTGTCGGGATGTCCATTGCAGCGAGAAATTTTCAGAAGAGTGAAATGAGAAGAAGAAGATCTGAATTCATCTGTCAGAATTCGAAACATAATATAGGTTATGTTTATTTCATTCATTCATTTTGGTGGACTTTCATGATAATTACTAGTATTTTATAGTTGAATTATGCCCCAGTTTCCTGCTTTATAAGGCCTTCATACAAGTAAGTTCTTATTATTTCTGTGTCTATTCAGGTGTTCCTAATTGCGAATTGTTATGATAACATGACATATTTCTTCGATAGGTAGGTAAAACACCCTTCACCAGAATGAACAGAAGGAAAAAGATTTGAAACAGGTTCTTCCGACGTATCTACTATAAAGTAGAAAAAAAAATCATCGGATGTTGACAAACTCTTGAATGATAGGACAACAGATGATGTGTGGGCAAGAATCACTGACAATTTCACAGTTTGAGGAATTCTCATCTTGGGGCCAATTATCTTGCTCATCGACCTAAAGTGACGATAAAAATTTATGGAACACCTTTTTCACAACATGTGGCTCTTGCATGATGAGGCTCCAACACATTACACTCTGAATGTCCATTGCTGTTTCATTCAACAGTTTTCAGATAATAAGCAGAGGAAATATACTATAGTTTATGGGGAGCAGTACCTATAAATTTTAAGGTGTACTTCAGACCAGTAAATACTGAACAGGAATTATGGAGACAGATTCAGAATGCATTGAATATTTTCAAGAACAATGCAGAAATGATGCAATATATGCATTTCAGTTTTTGTGCTGCCAGTGCATTGGACCACTTCTTTTCCAATTTATCATCCTAAAAGTAGGTACTATCTATTTTTTTATCATATTATATACTTTAGGTTTCACCCATGAACAATGTTTGAAATAAAAGAAAATAACATAACCTGTCTTTTGAATACGTATAGGTTGGTATATATGTCCAATATATGGACACCATATGGATGTCCATAATGGACACCAAATGGATGTCCATCATGGACACCAAATGGATGTCCATCATGGATAACATATGTATGTCCTAAAATGTGGAAAGCTGATTGCCTATGGACATCCATAGGATGTCCTGTGTACACAAAGTGGTTATCCTATGGATGTCCAGGGTGTCCGGGTGAGGATATCCATTGGATGTCCAATGGATGAAGGTGTGTTATTAGGGAGGTTATATGTTTCTTAAAACTTTAGCAGTGGGGTATAGGTAGTTATCGCAGGTTATTTCACTAGATTATTGCAAGAAACGTTGTTAGTTCTGTTCACATTTTTCTGAATGATGGATCGATTAGGTACCTAAGTACTACGATTATTTGGTATTAAGAATAAATTGTCTTGCGCCTCGATAGCTTCACCTACTAGATTCGAGTGCCGAGTTAATTATAAGAGGGGTGTGTGTGTTTTTATTGACTAGTGGTTCAGAAAATAACAAAAACTACCTTGGTAGAAAAAACAAACTTCTTTCCTTGAAAAGGAGTGAATAATAGTAGTAGGATCTACAGCTTAGGGTGCTGGAAAATAGTTAATTATACGCCAAGGTAGTGAAGAATAACAATATCACCCAGGGACCAAGATTATAAAGGTACAGTTACAGTTGTAATATTCTCTACTACCAAGGTGTATATTACTTTTTTTTTCACCACTAGCAATGTCTTTCAATCGTATTGTTAGTATAAAGTACCACTTTTCAATTCCAAACAAAATCTAGTAGCCATAAAACTGAAGCAAATTTCGATGAATCTGAAATTTTAGTGCGTCTTTCTATCACGCTCACAACCGACGAAATAATCTGAAGGTCCCAATAATTGAAGAGGTATCTGTTCTTACCATCGATTGCTTGACCAAGGTATTTCATTCCCATGAGCGCTTCATACGACAGATCATTGTTATTTTTCTCGAAGGTGCTTATCACTTCTTCTCTCAATCTGTCCTGAGCCTCTTGATTCTCAGCCAGTTCGAACAATGTCATCGTTGTGGTGGTTGCAGAGGTTTCGAATCCAGCAGTGAAAAATGAAAATGTCTGAAAATGAAAAACCATCTTTTCATAGGTCGGTACTAGGTGTGGGATGGGATAATATTGTCCGATAATAGTGAATAATTATTCAAAACCGATAATTTATGCACCCTATATCCCCGTTATAAAGACTGTGAGACTTAGTAAGTTCTTTCGAGCGATTTTTTGACTAAAATATATCGAATAATCATAATTAACACTGTGGTTTCATAATTTCAATACTCTTCAAATTGACATACTTTCAACTTTCTGTTTATGATTGTTACGATGAGAATTGGTGGCGGGAAAACAAAAAGCATCAAATTCGATTCAGTTTTTCCTCCTCCCCACAATTATTTCGATGTACTGTGTTAATTATTAAATACAGTGTGTTATTTCAATACTTCGAATAAATGAAATTTTTTCCTGAAGCCGAACCTGGATTTTCACTCCGCCTGATAGGTGAATGAATTTGAAGTCCCAAGTATAAGCTCCTTACCAAATTTGAGAAAAATTTACATATAAATACATATAGACGAATGAATAATTATTCAAAATCGATAAATCGCCCTGTATCTTCGTTATGAAGACTCTAAGGCCTATCAAATATGGTATTTTCAGAACCACCTTGGTGAACCCTATCTACCATTGAAATATCTCCCTTTACCTGTGAAACACCCTGTATAAGTGTATGAATATTTTAGTGGGAAAGGTTCATGTTCAGGTCTTGAATTTTTTAATCATTTTATGAATAACACCAACATAACCCTATATCCTAAATATACCATCGATTCACGTGAGTCAAGACAGCATATTTTCGAGAAAAAAGATGATCTTTTATCTGGTTTCAAAACAGTCCAAGGATCGTTTCAACAATTTGAAACACGAACAAACCTATGGTCACTTCACGTCCTCAGATAGATCTACCAGGAATATAAATGACCAATGACCATACACCTGATGAGATCGACCAATAAGCGGCGAGGATGAATAGATCAAGTTATTTGTGAGAACTTACCTGGCCGATTATTTCGTCCATAGTTACTTGTACTCCTGAGTTTTTCAGTTGGATCAACAAATCCAAAAAGTCTTTTCTGACCACATTATTTTTTTCTCTGTACTCCACCGTTTCTTTGATAATTTTACTGTATTGCTTTGATACCTCCGGTTGGACATTGGACATTTTTAATTTTTCTGCCAATTTGGGAAAATTTATCGTCATGAATAAACGGATCATGTCTATCGGAGAAAACTCCTCGAAAAAATGTCTCCCGAGTCTTCGGAATTCTGCATCTGGATTTTTGAAAGAATTGCATTCCACACCTAAGATCGCCGAACCTGAAATATTATGCACTTTGAGTGAGCCGCGAGCTATTATACAGGGTGTATCTGAATAACATAGCAAATAAAGTTCATATAAACATGTGTCCTAACTTGCTCCGTTTTTGAGATACAGGATGTTGGAGTTGAAAGTATTAATTCTTTTCATTTATAACCTCCCTGTATAAGCTTTCATGGAGCCAAAATTTAGTATGGATGGAGACTAAGAAAGCCCCGAAATTTCAAAATGATTCTAATTGGAGTTATTGAGTAATCTCAATGGAAGTCTTGAAATGAACACCTACATTAAGATTTGGAGCCAAATCGAATTTTTATATTTATATATACTATATACACAATTTGTTTATTTTTTTAAGGATCTACTTATTCTAATGTCCATTTTTTTTTTGTACATTTGTCATACTTATGATAGCCACATAAAATGTTGAATGTATTGTTAATCGAAGCCATGGGTAGAAGGACCTCGGTCAATAACCCTTTGGATCATGTTTGGTTCAATAAAGTATTATTATTATATTCGAATTTTTATTGTTTCCTAAAAAATAAACCAAGTTACAAAAATCACACGAAGGATAGGAAAGCTGTTATTTTGATAGTTCAATCTAATAAAAATATGAAACTCAGAAAAACCAGTAGCATACAATGACATTCACCAAGAATATCGATAAATTTACCCACTGTCACGCCACTGGAAATATTATTTCGAATCTCATTGCATTAGAAGAAGCTCCATATTACTATTAACAAAACCACGACTTTTTATTTGAAATTTATGAAAAAACAATTGAGAAATGAATAGAAAAAAGATTTTTCATGAAAATATTAATTTTTTTCTGTGACGGGAAAAAAGTTTGACATTTCATCTCTGTTGGCAGGTTATAAGATGTCACTTTTCAGAATTTGACTGACAGAAGTGACATCAGATATTTGATTACTTCAAAAGAAATGATAAAGATGCCTACAACGTAGGTGTCCCTACTGTTAAAAACTTAAAATTTCACGTCGATAATTTTCAGATTTCAAAATAATGTAATATCTTCTCAATATTGATCCGTCCTTCCTTCTGTCACAGAAAAAAATCGTTATTTTTGTATCTAGAGCGCGAAATGCTACTTTGGTGATCGAGATCTGATTTTTTCAACGAGGCGTAGACGAGTTAAAAAAAATAGTCGAGATGACCAAAGTATTTCGCGCTCGAGTTGCAAACAACATTTTTTCTACAAACGTCAAAAAATAAAGTTCTAAGGTGAAAATATGCTTAGCTTGATATAAAATATAGTGTTGAACTGGCTTAAAAGGCTTTCCCCTATCCTCCCTAGGTACGCACGATGTTCCACGAACATAATAGGAATTTCCTCGGGAATTTCTGTTCGTGCGCTCCAAGAGATAAAACAAAGTTATTGTTGAACATTCAGAAATAAATGATTTCGTGGATGTTCGCTCGATTGAGCGACCATAAAGTTGAAATATAAATATCTCATATATTTTACATAACAATGCGCGAAGTAGGTACTTCGCGCACTGTTTTACTTCGCGCATTGTTTTGTGCAAGGTATCATGGTAACGTAGGAAACTGAAAAAAAAAGTGTCACTTCGCAATTCGTTATCAATGCGCGAACCTTGTCATTTTTTGACGTTTGTAGAAAAAAGTATTTTATACACGGGAAAAATATTAGATTTCAGCTCACGGTTTTTTGTCTCCATTTGCTACGCGTCGGGAGACAAGACAACATGGAGCTAAAATCTACTACTTTTTTCCCTTGTATAATAAATAACTATTTTTCTCATGGACTTATATTTTGAAGAAACTCCGTGGGCAGTGACAAAATTTTCACTCTAAAAAAAAGTCGTGAGAGTATTGGGGAACGCTGGTTACCGAGATCATTGCAAACCGTTATTCAAAAAGTTGAATATTCTAACTTTACCTTCCGGTTTCATCTCACTTGTCATGTTTGTAAAGGAAGATGAGAACTCTTGATCTTTGAATTCATCCCACCATGATTATGATACTCGGAACAAAAGATCCTTGAGTATACCCTACCACCGGCTTCAAAAAACGCAACAGACAATTAATTATACATCTCTCAAGCTTTTTAAGAAACCCATCAGAAAATTCAAAGTAGCAATTGTGAAAATTTTACTGAACAATGCCTTCTATTCACATGATGAATTTCTTGACTTTCCCCCTCCTAGGTGGTTGAACCAAGAGGGCTACCAATATAAATTTCAAGTGTCCCCTTTGAAAATAAAATTGACCAGTCCTCGATTTTTCATATTATTTACTGGAAGAAAGATATTGAGGGTGGGAAGTTTTCCAAATTGCACCCTGTATGCGTTTCACTGAGAGAAAACTTGAGTTATCATAATTGGAAATCTGATAACCGTTATTACGATATCTGCAATAAATAGAGGACATATGTGTTCATTTGCTACCATAGATGAAGTGAATTTTCAGACGGCTTGTATAGTTATCGCAGCATATTCAATTTGCAAACTTGTATAAACACCGCTGCTGAATAACTACCACTTGTTCTAGTTTCTATGATAACACAGAGTGTCGAATAGAAATTTTTCCTAAATAGATGTTGCAGTAACTAATCCACTCTTTAGTGGTTATTCGACGTCATAAAACAGCTTGTTTTCATTACTGGCACAACCATCTTGAGGTAACGCAGTAATTTGTCTCATTTAATAATAGTTATCTGATATCTGAATGAAACCTGACCATGCTATTGTAATATTCTCAACAGTTATCCCAATATTTTTCTAATTATATTTGTTACCGTGAAAGACCGAAATTAGTGATTGTTGACATACACCGGTTAATGTCGACACACACCAAATCTATTGGTGAAAGTCCGAACAATTATTAGTTTTAATATAAATTCGGTCCTTCACCAGTATACAGTGTGTCCCAGATTCGCTACTCTATACAGGGATCTCGGCTCCTATTATACCTACAGCAGAGGTTAAATGGGGAAAGTTTCAGAGGAATCTTAGTGCATTCGATAACCGGCTTCAGATTTACGATCGGATAATTGGTTTTGGAAATATCGGCGAAAAACGGAAAATGACGGATTTCGTTTTTCGCCAGTAAATCCGAAACGGTTAATTTGACAGCTGTCAAAATGTCACATTATCTGGACACTTTTTTAAGACAAATAAGATAGCATGTATGACATGTCACGATCGTATGTTGTTATCCCGCAGGCCGCCTCAACTTTCATTTTTCTTATGGCCGCCATATTGGAATTTTCGATTTTTGGAAAGAGCGTAAAATTTCCAGTCTAGTGACGTCTTACAAGTGCATAAAAGTTTTGAGTTTCATAGAAATATCACACTTCGTAAAGTTAGGTCTTGATTTTTTCTAAGGAGGCCATGATTTACTTGTCAGAAAATTGGGTTTTTATAAGTAACACTTTTTCCATCTAAGGATGCTCTGAGTTTGACATTAAATAGTTAAAAGCGTCAGAGTTGTGTTTTTATAAAGACTACTTGTAATCTGACACACAAATTGTCTTAATTTGTTGAAAATTGCCGGTATTCCCTATTCAAATGAAGAAAAGTTTGACATGTTAGCGCTGTACTTGCAGTCACGCAGAAACGCCGACATTACTTCAGCAAGGTATTTGGAGATGTACCCCGAACGACGGCAGCCTCATAAAACCCAATTTAGAAAAATCGTAGTTAATTTAATTAACCATGGGGCCTTCGAACAACCTAGAAGTAGATACGATATTGAAAATGAAAATCGCGACAGAAACATTTTACAAACTGTCAATTAAAATCCCAGAGCATCGGTACGAACTGTAGAACGGGAAATTGGTGTGTCAAAATCAACGGTACAGAGAGTGTTGAATAAGAATAAGTACCATCCATACAAACCCACAATAGTTCAAGGACTTAAGGAAACTGATTTTCCAAGACGAATGCGCTTCTGTGAGTGGTATACTAGGAAGTGTAATGAAAATCCCGATTTTGTAAATCATGTCTTGTGGTCCGATGAGAGTAGGTTCACGAATTGTGGAGTTTTTAATAAGCACAACACTCATCATTAGGCTGTGGAAAACCCTCACGAAGTGGCAGAGAGACGTCTACAGACTAGATTTGGAAGTAACTTTTGGTGTGGGGTCATTGGTAATTTGATCTGACTTAGCTTTTTCAATTGGGCACCTGTTATAAATTATTATTAATCATTTCAGGAAATCGACTTATAGGACCATTTGTGTTTGAATACAACCTAAACGGACAGAGGTACCTAGAGCTTTTGCGAAACCAGGTTGTGCCGGCTTTACGAGCTACTATAACCGAAGATGAGTTTAGAATAACCTGGTTTCAACAGGATGGATGTCCGGCTCACAACACCATTCAAGTCAGGAACTTCTTAAGAGAGCAATTTGACGAAAGAATTATTTCTTTAAATGGTCCAATATCTTGGCCCCCGAGATCCCCTGACCTCTCACCTTTGGATTTCTACCTCTGGGGTCACACAAAGAATGAGGTCTATGAATTTGATCCTCCCGCGACCATAGAAATCCTGAGACAAAGAGTTCTGGACACATTTGGAAATATTAACGGGAATACACTTGCTAGGGTTGTAAGAAAAACAGTCACCAATTATCAAAAATGTCTCGATGCAAATGGACGTCATTTTGCAAATTTGTAAATTAACACTCATTTAAATAGCAGTTAGGAACATAATTAGATTTTACTTTACATGACATCACATTACAACCTGTAAAATATTTCTGTTGCGATTTTAATTTTCAATTTGTATCTAATTGTAGGTTGTTCAAAGGTTCAAGTGTTAATTAATGACGATGATTTTTCTGACTTTTTTTTTAAACACCAATAGTTGGGAATTTGTCCCAAAATATCTTACTTGTTGAGAAGTCGTTATTTACGTTCATGTTCTATCGAAATCTCAATGCGTTTATGAGTTCTTTTATGCGTGTTATTTTCTGTCAAGTAAATCATGGCCTCCTTAGAAAAAATCAAGACTTAACTTTACGAAGTGTGATATTTCTATGAAACTCAAAACTTTTATGCACTTGTGAGACATCACTAGACTGGAAATTTTACGCTCTTTCCAAAAATCGAAAATTCCAATATGGCGGCCATAAGAAAAATGAAAGTTGAGGCGGCTTGCGGGATAACAAAATACGATCGTGACATGCCATACAGGCTTGTCGCCAGTCTTACACAAGGTTTGATTGATAGTGAAGAAAAGTTAATTTCCATGGATGAGATTTCAGCTCAAGAAATTTCGGAAAGAGAAGCAGCTTCTGCTAATTCAAAAATCGGAGGGCAAGGCTATACACGCTGTAACCGCAAAAAGAAGTGTTCTACGCCTGAATGTAGCTGTAAAAACAAGAGCCTTTCGGTTGCAATAAATAAGGTTGCCATACATTCACTTTGTTCTTCACATTTTAGTCCAAGAAATAATAATAATAACCTATAGAGGATATAGAGGTAAACAAATCCTCATATGCTCAGATAGTCAGGCGGTCATTCAATCTTTAACATGCAATAAAATCAGATCAAAACTGGTCTGGGATTGCCTTCAAAGCCTGCTAACCCTGATGGCTAACCACAACAAGGTAACTCTTCAATGGGTGCCAGGGCATAAGGGAATTGAAGGCAATGAAGCAGCTGACGCTCTTGCCAGGCAAGGGTCTGCGACGTTGTTTATGGGACCGGAACCTGTATTCGGTATCCCTAAAACCTCAATACGCGGCTGGCTGGCAAGGTGGATGCAAGAAAGACATCAGGCATACTGGAACAATGTCCCAGGACAAAGACACAGTAAACTGATGGTTGGAACACTGTCCAAAACAGTGACTAACGACATTCTGAGCCTAAACAGAAGTCAGATCAAACAAGTGACGGGACTAATAACCGGTCACTGCCCCTTGAGGAAACATATGCATCAAATGGGCATCTATACAAACGAACCCATATGCAGACTATGCAATGAGGAGGAGGAAACTGCCACCCATGTAATATTGGAGTGCGAAGCACTAGCGCGTTGGAGATACAACCTTCTGGGAGCAGTAAACTCTCAAGAGACATTTTCAAAGAATGATTTGGTGAAGAGGCTGCTAAACCTCATCAAGGTAGCGAACCTGTTCACCTAAGTCAACAGCATGATCAGGAATACAATAGGCCCAAAGGCTGCAGTGTTTTGGGATTCAAACCCTGACTGATCATTCTGCTATTAATCAATCAATCAATAAATCTCTCAGTGTTGTGCATTGATGAATTAGCTCTGGTTTAACAACTAACAACTTACCGACTGCGTCAGTAGTGAAACGTGCCATTGTCTCCAAAACATCGACATCAAGATTTCTTTTCGCACTGTCGTCCAATGTCGGTATCATATTTGGAATGACTAGTTTTATAGTATCATACATTATTTTAATTTTTGAGGATGTGAAGACGCTGGTGAATTTGATCTGAAACAAATAATATACTGCGTGTCAAACTTTAAAGAAATGCGGCGGCGATTTTTATCTCAGATATACCGTGTGTCAACGAATCTATTAGACACGTCATAACTTCTAGACCATTAGGTGTCTCAAAATGAGATTTGGTATTGGTAAATGAAGAGGGCAGTTTTCACATCTTTTACACTTTCCGGTCACTTCCAGTTTCACCGGAAATGGCTCCGGTTCTAAATTTTTAAATGGAGCTTCCTGTATATTGTAACATTTTTGGATATCTGAGACAATTCTAGATCAGAATATGACATTTTTTGAAAGTTTTTATGCCTACCTAATTTTTTCGGAGTCACTTTTGAAATAACATCTAGGTGGCCATGATTGGAAGTAAACTAATCTAAGGACCTCAGGAGATATCAGAAAATTACAGTCGCGAAGTTTTAGTGACAAGTATGATAGATATGAATAAGACGAGTTGGCAAAATTACATTTTCGTGTCTAACTATAATTTTTCAAATGGAGACCATTTTTTGACAAGCACTTTCCGAAAAAAGGATATTTTGACGAATCTAACGATACTAATTTATTTGCGATTGGATTACAAATAAGAACAAAAATTGAATATTACTGACGAAAATACTTCATAATAATTCATTCACTTTTGTCAAGTGTGCCGAGGATAGGCATGATGCATAATGTTTTGCAGTTATTTCGATCAAGTCTTCTTGGGAGAACAAAACACTCACTTAGGTTATGACAGTGACATAAGCTTCAAGTGCAGAAGGTAAAATTTTCTTGATTTTCGTTAAATTTTAGTTTAATTTTCCGTGGAAATAATGTATACTCAAAGTGAAAAGTGGATATGTTGTTATCGTTTGGAGAATGTCACAGAAATTCGAGGAATGCTGCTGAGTTGTATGTAATAGAGCATTTCAATAATCAAGTTATTGCAACCAATGGACCAGTACGGTGGCCTGCCCGCTCACCGGATCTGACTGTGCTAGATTTCTTCATTTGGGGATATGTTAAAGAAAGGGTCCACTATACAACAGCCCCAGCCACTCTCGAAATCTTGAAAGAAAGGATTCTACAGGCATTTAGAAGTATAACGCACAAATTTCACGAAACGTGTTGAGAGAAACAATTGAACGAGCTGAAATGTGTCTTGCACAAAGAGGAATGCACTTTAAAAATTTACTAGAGTGAGAATTCTAAGAAATTAGGAAATTGAAAAAAATTTAAGTGTATCGCTGAAGTTATTGTTAAGTCTGTTAAATTTGTTGATCCAATCGCAAATAAATTAGTATCATTAGATTCGTCAAAATATCCTTTTTTCGGGAAGTGCTTACAAAAGTAAATGAATTATTATCCATGGCACACTTGACAAAAGTAAATAGATTATTATGAAGTATTTCCGTCAGTAATATTTAATTTATGTTCTTATTTGTAATCCAATCGCAAATAAATTAGTATCGTTAGATTCGTCAAAACATTCTTTTTTCGGAAAGTGCTTGTCAAAAAATGGTCGCCATTTGAAAAATAATAGTTAGACACGAAAATGTAATTTTGCCAACTCATCTTATTCATATCTATCATACTTGTCACTAAAACTTCGCGATTGTAATTTTCTGATATCACCTGAGGTCCTTAGATTAGTTTACTTCAAATCATGGCCACCTAGATGTAATTTCAAAAGTGCCTCCGAAAAAATTGAGTAGGCATAAAAACTTCTCAAAATGTCACATTCTGATCTAGAATTGTCTCAGGAATCCAAAAATGTTTGAATATACAGGGTGATTCATTTAAAAATTTAGAACCGGAGCCATTTACGGTGAAACCGGAAGTGACCAGGAAGTGAAAAATGGATTACCGACAATTGGACGCGGATAATTGGACGCACGAAAATTGGACGCGGATAATTGGACGCGACGACAATTGGACGCGGCGACAATTGGACGCGGCGACAATTGGACGGGGCAACAATTGGACGCGACGAAAATTGGACGCGGCGACAATTGGACGCATGCGTAAATAAAAATAATTTTATAATTCCAATGAAATTTATTGCATGGAATATGCAGGGCTCATATCTATAATATAACAAATACCTAACCTAACCTACCTAACCTAACCTAACCTCGCGTCAATTGGACGTGGAAAATTCATATTACGATATGAGATAGGAAAATAATTGTCAAACGAGGCCATAGGTATTTGTTATAATTATGGATATAAGCCCATCAGTATTTCATATTTTATACAATGAATTTCATTGGAATTATAAAATTATTTTTATTTACGCATGCGTCTAATTGTCGCCGCGTCCAATTTTCGTCGCGTCCAATTGTCGCCGCGTCCAATTGTCGCCGCGTCCAATTGTCGCCGCGTCCAATTTTCGTGCGTCCAATTGACGCGACACCGTGAAAAATATGTAAAAACTCTCCTCTTCACATACCATTTACCTATACCAAATCTCATTTTGATACACCTAATGGTCTAGAAGTTATGACTTGTCTAATAGATTCGTTGACAGTGTTGAAATTCAATTCCAACATGAAAATTGGAGGACTAGAAGAAATATACAGTTTGTACTAGAACAACGTGCAATAAATTCTACTGGTGGAACTGATGGTTGAAATAGTTTGAGTGAAATCAATCTTCTCTTATACGATAAATCTTATTCTCAATATTTGAGAATAGTGAACCTCAAAGACAAACAATAGTTATATAATTTTTATAATTTTATGACTATGACAAAAAAAATTGCAACAATGAATAATGTTGAAAGTTGAACCTTACCCTCGCATTCTTCCAATCTGAACCATTCTGTGTAACCAAACTAACAGTAGTAGGGTCGTTTTCGATCATATAGAGACCACGGTCCATGAAATGATTGAAGTCCTTGATTAAAACGGTTGTTACATCTTCAGGGTCCAAGATCACTAAATAAGGATCTATCCCTACATAAACTCCTGCAACAAATAACTACATAAAGAATGTTTTCTAAACCCCAGTAACCAATTCGTTTGATGATCTTTGTATTTGTAATTCCTAATATATCTGGTTTTCAAAATAACAGGTAATGTGGTATTTTCGGTATATTATCAATTCATCAGTGAAGTTTACGGTTTTGAAGGTTTTTGTATACAAGCGACCGGTCGAAACCATTCGCAATTGTCATTGTATGATTAGTCACGTGACACTAACGACCAGTCGGTCAAGCCGGTCGACAACCAAAAACACTACCATAACTAACCGAAGAGGGTTGATACCAAGTTGGTACTAAATTCAGAAACTTACCACCCATTTTCGCCCCTCTTGCTTTGAAATCTTGATAGAAATCATAAGATATTTTTCCAATTGATTGTCCTTTCGGAAAGAAGGACGTGTTATTTCCAGTAGGAAACGTTGGTTCCAAATAAGGAATATTTTTCCTCTTCCAGTATCCGTATTTGTACTTTACAAATAAAATGGCTACTATGCCCACACTCGCAATCAATATAGCGATGTCAGTCAACATTTTGAAACCGCGATGAAACAAAAAACTGATCGATATTTGATCAAATCAGACTTATATATATGTATGTATTTTCATTGATTAAGCATGTCGGTGTATTTTACTATTCTTGTAAAGAGTTGCAAAGTCATCTATCCTTCCTCATCTTCATCTAGTCATGGCCTTATTCATGACATAGGCAGACAGATGATTACAGATAGATAAGTGCTTATCTTGATCATGGTGATAGTTTGATGATTTGTGGGATTTTGCATCCGCTGGGATCTTGGATTTGTTGCCCATCAAGGGCTTGGAGCCCAAAGGGTGTTGTGGTACCTATGATGCATTTCTACACTCAGTTCCAAAAAGAAGTGACGCACTTTATATTTGACCTATCTTCTTAAAAAAAAAATAAAAATTGTGGGCCGATTTTTTTTTCCTTATTTGTTGGTAGGTAATGCATTTGTCTTCAAAAAAAAAAAAGAGGTAAACATTTTTTCGATGCCTCCTTGATGGTGTGGAATAACACGAACCATGATTTATTCTTAATTTTTGACTCACCGTGCTAATTGAGTAATGGCATAGAAAGTTCTTGCACCCTATACAAAAGAGGCATCTTTTGCGAGTATTTTGGTTTTTTATTCATTGATTTATCTCTAAAATTTTCCGAATTACAGCTTTTTTGCTGATACCTTCCGCTTATCCCACAAATTAAGGATCACAGTACTCAGAATTGATTGGGTTGTACTCTGGTAGGATCACATTGTCTTTAAAAAAAACAAATGCCGTTGCCATAGCAACTAATTTGTTGTATGCCTCCATATTTGACCATTTGTAGTTGTGTCATTAATTAAGTGTCTTGTTTTATTGACTAAAATTACATAAAATGCCCCAAATGAATCCTGAACAAGTAGCAAGATTAGTTGCGTTGGTGAACGATGGGCGTAATAAACGTTACGCCGCTCGTGCAGTGGGAGTTCATGAAGCAACTGCTCGTAGAGCAATCCGCAAGTACGAACAGACAGGAAGCACCGCTCGGAGGGTCGGTTCTGGTCGCCCCCGAAAAACTTCTCCAAGAGATGATCGCTTCTTGAGATTGCGGATTTTACGGAATCGATCAAATATACTGCGGTAAATGATCAGCAAGATCTTCGCCAAATTCGTGATGTTGCAGTAAGTAAGCAGACGGTATGTAGACGTCTAAAAGAAGTTAATTTAAAAACTAGCAGACCTGCAAAAGGTCCCAAATTATTTATTGTCCGAACATCGTGCTGCTAGAAGAAATTTTGTTGAAAATTATGAACAGTGAAATATTCCTGAATGGTCGAATGTCTTGTTTACGGATGAGTCAAGGTTTTGCCTTAACATGGTAGATGGAAGAAAAAGAGTGTGGAGAAGAACTGGTGAACGGTTTTATCAAAATTTAAAAACATAATGCGAAAGTTTTAATGGTGGGTCCGTTATGGTGTAAGGAGGGACTTCAATGAATGGAAAGGCACCCCTTCATATTTTTCCGGTGGGGCAGTCGATGAATGCCCAAATTTACATTGACATTTTAGAGCAGTATGTCTTACCTTATGCAGAGTTAGTGGGCAATAATTTTATATTGATGCAGGATAATGCCCCACCACACACCGCAGCAATAGTACGAAACTTCTCAGAAGCTACTGGTATTACCACATTACAATGGTCTGCAAGAAGCCCCGATATGAATCCTATAGAACATTTGTGGGATGAATTAGGGAGAAGGGTACGTTCTCGCGAGTTGTCTCCGGAAATTCTCGCAGAAATGGAAGAAGTGGAAGAATGGGATCGTATACCGATGGAAACGAAGCAACTTAATTTCCAGTATGCCTCGTAGATTAGAAGTTCTTAGAGTTGCTTGAGGAGGCAATACACGGTATTAAGCAGTCATCCCAATTTATAATTTTGTGTTTAATAAAAATGTTTTTCAAAATTATTGGTATCAGTTTATTTCATTAGAAAATTGTTTCTCGATTAATTCAGAAAGTTGGTAATCTGCAAGGAATCAGCAAAAAAAGCTGTAATTCGGATAATTTTAGAGATAAATGAATGAATAAAAAATAAAATGCCCGCAAAAGAAGCCGCTTTCGTATAGTGTATGTATAGTGTGAGCACTTTCTATGCCATTACTCGATTAACACATAGGGTGAGTCAAAAATTAAGAATAAATCATGGTTCGAGTTATTCCACCACCATCAAGGAGGCTTTAAAAAAATTTTCACCTCTTCATTTTTTTTTCAAAGACAAATGCATTACCTACCAACAAATGAAAAAAAAATAAAAATCGGCCTACTATTTTTTGTTTTTTTTAAGAAGATAGGTCAAATATCGAGTGCGTCACTTTTTTGGAACTGAGTGTACATTCTATGCAAAACTGTCATGAGTGTCGATTGTAATCTGTAACATCATATGTCACGATCGTATTGTTGATTGTCGATTGTCTTGAATGATTGATACACGTTACTAAGATTGTTAAGTTAAAGAGGTTGGAATCAAATCCAATATACAGAAGATCATCGTGATTCCATTTTTATTTATGAAGTCCAGATATTACAGAAGGTTATGGGCCCAGATATACGTATATCTAGGTGGAATTGAAAGTGGCTTGGCTGGAAATTAGTATTTCACGTTACGAGAGTAAACTCTGGGAGTAACCGGCAGCATCAGGTACAGGAAGTCAAACTCTGGAAGTTCCTGGAATCATGGCAATGCCGAATTCACTGGCGGTCACCCTGAAACCACTTGATGGCACACATTTTTCAAATTGGGAATTTCGTTTGAAGTTGATTTCGGAACAGAATAAATCACTAGAAGAAAATCCTCCAACTGGGGCACAAGAACTAGCTATGTTTAGGAAGAAAGATATTAAAGAAAAAAAACATTCTTTTAATTGTCTCGGCCGTTACTCGATGAAAATCCATGGCAAATGCATAAACTTCACAAACACACTAAAAATATACTTGTACAGGGTCTAGCAGATAATGTGGAAACTGTGAAAGACAAGGAAATTGTAAAGGATGTATGAGAACCTGAGAAGCACATACACAACGAAAGGATTATCAATACAAGTAGACTTGCAGAACAAATTGAGAAATATGAAATTTACTGATGGTTGTTCAAGTAATTTCATAGTAGAATTTGGAGAAACAGTATCAGATCTGAAAGCTAGTGGAAGTAAACTGGAAGAACCAGAAATTATATGTCAGTTGTTATTGGCAGCAACTCGGGCAGCAATAATGCCTGACAGCCACAATTGATGTTATGTTCAGCACAAATCCAGAAGATGTGAATGTATAGTTTGTGAAAAGTGAATTATTGCAAGAAGAAATTAGACCAGCAAGCAGAATTGCTCAAGAGAACGGTAATTTTGCACTTATCATGCGATGGGTTTTTTTTCGAAAATTTTTTCTGGTACTTACGTATTTTTGTCTGAAAAACACGAATTTGATAATGAAAATGTGAACAAACCACTATTTATCGAGATATCTCAAGGGAAAGTTAGAAATTTTGCCTTCTTTTTCCCCTTGTGTTGGATGCATTTACAGGTACTTGCTCTTATTATTTTGTCATTGGACACTTTATATACTCATGATGTACTTCACTGACACATTTTAAGATAGAAAATTCAACAGGAAATATGATTTTTATGGCGAGTTTTTCCTATTTAGTGAGCAAGCATTACAGATGACGGCCATTTAATCCATATGTAGCCATCTTATGCAATCCAAATACGAGATGTCAAATGTCAATAGATTGCTTATTTGGAATGACAGACAGGCCATTATTGCAAATGATATTCTTCCTTCTTTTCAATAAACATGGATAAATCAGTTTTATTACGAAAAATGAATTCAAGCCATAATTGTGTATTGGTAGGAGAATAAGTTATTTTTTATTTCAAAATCTGTAATTGTTTGTTGATGTTACATAATAAATCGCTCTTCAAGTTATTATCCTTTTCAAGAATTTCATTATCATTGAGTTTCATTGTTTAGGTTCATGTTTCTTTAAATACAAATATTGAAGTTTATTTATCAACTTCAAGTGCTGATTTTGAAACATAAATGGACGGATTTTGAGTTGGTTGCAAAAAACATTATAACGTCCGACGATCGTAACACTAGACATATCCATATTCGGGCGGTTGGTCATTCAGTCATTTCCTTTCAACTGGCAACACTGTATGTGTTGACATATTGACGTCACTATCAACTCTGCGTGAAAGCCCTTTACACAGATTTTTGGTCAACTGAATTTGAACTAAGAGCTCATGCCGAGGACGAGATTCGATTGGATTGGGAAACATTCATTCGAATGATGATGCTTTTGAATGAATTGTCCGACAATTTTGCCAAATTCTATAAACAATCAAGAAATATTTCTGTTGATGAAACCATGATTACATGTTCAGTCATTGGGGATCCAAAATAAGGCTTACCTGGAAAAAAGTCCGGAAGTTTCGAAACTTTGTAGGATTATAGTTTTGGGTGTCCAGAACTGAAATTCACAAAATGCACATTCCGGGACATGCCGCCGGCGCCGCCATCTTGCCAAGATGGCGCTCAAAAACGGTTTTTTGAAAATATCTCCAAAACGGCGCGATTTTAGGAAAAATATGAAGACATAAAAATTTAAGATGGAGAAATTTTCTACAAGAAATATTCCTAGCATATTTCTGCTAAAGAGAGCCGTTTAGGCTCAAGAGCTGATTGAATGACAACATATTCTGTTAATTTCTATAAACTGCCCCCAACTATCTCCATATATGCGTATAAATTCATATTTTATAATAAAACGGGCTATTCAATTTGTTCCTCGTTATATTGGACGATTTTTAGATCAATTATGCGACAAAAATTTTGCATTTGTGACTTGCGATTATTTGGGCGATATAAAAATTGCATTATCGACGAATCTGGCGACTTTGCTCCAGAAGTATGTGGGTGGAGGATGGTTATGAGTAAATTTCGTACCCATACTATGTATCCGTAGATATAGGCACCTTCTCGTACTGTAAAACCGCCCATAAATTCATAGAAATTTGAAATTTTGCTTTCTTGTCTTTACCACTCCATCCCAA